TTCCGTTTGTAATCAAAATTAGAAAATTCTTATTAGAAATTAATTGACTGCGTAGCTATTGGAAGTCACATCGACTAAGTATACTAAACTCAACAAGTGATTTTATGCGAACCCGACAAGTCTGTAGAGTATGAGTATCCTTTTATTACTAAAGCAATTTTTACGTACTTGTTGTTGTGGTTACGGTGGTAGTACTAATAGTGCTTGTTGTACTTGTACTAGTGCTCGTACTTGTAGTGCTGGTTGTTGTTGTAGTGCTTGTGGTTGCTGAAGTCATTGTTGTAGCTTTCCATAAAGAATATTAAACTTTATGAAATTACTATGATAAAAATCGCAAGTCTTACTTGTTTGTGTGCCTATAACGAAAGAATTTGGTTATAGTTTACAATTACTAATATATTTACTTGTTGGAGCCTCGGTTGTTGCGTGAATAAAGATTCCGAGAATGGTACCCAGTACTATACTCATGAATAACCATGTAACAATAATGTAGAAGCCAATTATTTTTTTACCAGAGCCTTTACCTATAGTTGCCAACTTTTGATCTAATTCCACGCTATTAATTCTATAAAAAAATAGCAAATTTTAGAATTTTGGACGAAAGAAAATATAAGTCAATAGACCCAGGGTTTGACACTTCTATTTCTTTTGTTTTATCTAATTTCAGCGTTGCGTTATTCGAGTCAGTTCGATTTCTGTTTAAGTCATTATGCTCGAAGCTTTGTCTAGTAGATGAGATATTGTCAGAATGGATCCATGCTTCATCCCATACACTTTTCCGGTGGAAATCATTAGTAGACGATGAAAATTCTATTGGATCCCAGTTACTAGTTCTTCTAATTAGATTATTGGACGATTGATACTGTTGTTCATTCCATGAGTTTTGTTCAAGAGATGAATCATTGAGTGAATGTATTTCTGGTTGATTGCATACACTGTTTCTAGTCGTTGAAATCAAGCCTACCGATTGAAGTTGTGAGACATCCCAATTACTTTTGCCTACATACGGAGCACTATGATATTGAGTAAGAGTGTTGGAATAAGTATTTGTAAAGAATGAACTTTCAGGAACAGATCGGCGATAGCTCAAGGAAACGAACGAATCCAATTTTAGTGCGTTCTAAATGAAAATATTATTTGCAGTATATCTGAAAATGTTCCTATATGAGCTTACTTCATTACTACTCATGCTACTCTTATGAAAGAAAGGAATTCATAAAATTCAGTTGACAAACTTAAGAATGTAACAAAATTACAACCATATTCTTACGTTTTTATTTAAAACTCAATGAAAATTCTTTTCAATGAAACCAAAAAGAACATTGCATTGGTCAGAATGGCACATAGGATTTTTGGAAAAAAACAGCAACCACAAAATCAGACTGAGAAGACTTTCAAAAATTTGAAATTAATACTTTTTCACGGAGCCCAAACATCGAAGGTCGAAAAATAGATGAATTTTTCGATCGAATAAATTAAAGAGAAACTTTTTCTTAAATCATTGAATTTCCAGTCTCTTGATTTTAGTACACATCGGAGTTACCATTGCCTCATAAAAAAATACACCTCTATAGTAAAAGCTAAATGGTAAAAGTCTTTCAAAAAATGAACACAGTAAGTAGTAAGCTTTCATAGTTTTCGTTGCCGAAAAAGAACGGCAATGCTAGATATGATTCATTAATTACAATCATGTCAACTTTTAGTTATGAGTAAAAGATGTTAAAACCTATGGAGATGTTGCAATCTCAATGAAAACCGTACTGAAGTAAATGGTAGTAACAACGAGTCATGTCTCATCAATTCTTTTTCAGAAATCAGCATTAATAGAAACACTCCATGTGAAAAACTAGGAGACATATTTCTAAGAAAATACTCACGAAAGACATCTGAAACATACAAAAACGCATAAAACAGAAATGCATATTTGCTACGATGGCCTCCGCTGTAACTTAAATCAATTGACACAATAGAAATTTACGTTTCTTTCTAACCAACAATAACCACTTTCCTATTTTCAATTCCTAATCTTTATTTTATTTTATTATTCTTTTTTTTTGTTCTATTTATATCCTGTGTACAACACACACACACGCACACATCCATCGATGCTCTTTAATGACGCTTCGTTCGTGCTCAACCATGAAATTTAGCACTCATAAACTATAGTGATTTTCAAATTGTAAGGAAAACTTTGAAAATATCTTTTACAAACATGAAAAATAAAGAAAAAAACGCTATTTGTTTACGTAACATCATTGCACAATTCATTTATTTCATCACTTTCCCATAGTTATATTGCATGACTTGGATTAGCGTAATAAAAAATTTAATTTAGTTCAAGTCGTCTTGATTTTACTATTATATTTTAATCACTAACGTTTTACAAGTTTTGACATGAGTACATTTGATGTTTCTATCAGAGACCGAAACCGATGACAAAAGTGACATTCGATTCGATTCGGCTTTTTAGGACTGTGATTCGATTCGGCTTTTTAGGACTGTGATTCGATTCGATTCGATTCGGGTTTTCAGCCCTTTTAAAAATTGTAATGCGATTCGATTCGGGTTTTCAGGCCTTTTAAAAATTGTAATTTGATTCGATTCGGCTAAAAACACGAAAAAAATCGATTCGATTCGACTCAAATTGGGTTTATAAAAACATTGTGTTCGCTGTTGCATTGTATTGTTGTTTTCAGACTTGCATCGTCTTATAATGAGAGTAGTCTGTCAATCTTCTATAGAAAT